TATCACCGGTATGGACTGGCCAGCATTCTTACCGGACTTGAATCCAGTAGAGCATGTGTGGGACATCCTTGGCCGACAAGTTGCAGCCTGTCAACCTCCTCCTACATGTCTACCGGAACTTCGGAGAGCATTGCTTTTTGAGTGGTGTAATATCCCCCCCCCCAAGATCAGATCAATAATTTGATACTCAGCATGCCTAGGCGTTGTACGCACTGTATTGCATTGTCTGGGAGACAAACAATGTATTAACAATCATACCAACCATGTAATATTGGTTTTTTGTAAATACGTTTTTTTTTTTTTTTTTTTTTTTTAAATTTGTTCCAGGGAGAAAAAATAGCTAATTTTTTTAATAATATCAAACATATAGCATCTTTTTTTGCTCTTTACCTTTTGTTTAATAAATAAGCTTTACAAATAAGTCAAATTTGTTTTGCTTCTAACTCTTCCTTTGGCTGATTTTGCATTATCCTTAATTTATGGACATGAGTGTACTTCATTTAATTTCCTCAAACTTTTGCTGCATTCAGAGTTTCTTTGCTGGTAAATTATGCTTTACACTTTGCCAAACACTCTGCCATGTTTAATGGTAGTAGTATTGTATTGTTTGTCATTAAGCAAGGAAGTAGTCAATAATTAAAGTTTTACATGCAGGTTTATTTTAAACTGCATAATCCAACCAGGGTCTCAAATATCAATAAAATTAAAGCTAACAGCATTGTAAAACGTTATAAATTTCCTAGTGATTTGATCATATTTCAATCAACTTGATATTCATAATTGTGTAGAAGCTATTTGTTAAGCCCAAGATTTTGGAGAAATGAAGAAATGGCCAAGGTTAAAAAATGGAATGCAAGACAATTATCAACTACTTAAGTTTAAACAGTAGGAAAATTGAGAGTGAATAAAACACTGGGGAAGATGCAAAAGAGATTTAAAATAATTATTCATTTTAGAGATGTCAAAAAGAATACAAACCACATTCTGTTACGAATGAGCATGTTGAACTGAAAATGTTCGATAAAACTGAAATTTGCTTTGCTACCAGGGGTTTCTCCCATAGTATCAATATTTCAGAAAAATCAGAAGAACATATTAGATTGATAAATAAGAATAATATGAGGAAATAATGAAGAAGTCAAGAACTTCAAGAACTGGGAGACTGCTTTTTATAAAACGTCATGTATATCAGATGAAAGCTATGGCAGACATATCAAAAGAGAACATAAAGACTTCAAGATATTGTTAATGGGGCATTTTGTTATTTGTGCCTGTGACCCATGTAAAGTCGAGGCACTTAGGGCAAGTTTCGTCTTAGGGAAAAAAGATATGTTTACCCCCAAAAAACATTGCAGCACTCCTATGACTCTTCCAATTCAAACAGCATTTATTGATGGAAAGAATGCAATTAACAAAAAGAAGATCACAGATGTTCAAAAGTGCATTCAATACATATCAGCCAAGCGTATAAAATTTTACAATGATATCATGCAGGGGCTGACAAAAGGAGAAGAAAATGATGGAGAGAGTGGCAGCAGTAAGGATTGAGGTTTTATTATTACCAAATGGGAACACTTCTGTTTTTTTTTAATTAATGTTTATTTACTTATTGCCTTTTTCAATTTATTCCTTTTCTAATTTGTGCTCAATCTGGGAAGAAAAAAATGTCACAAGTTGTAAAAAGGGGATATGAGTGTTTTTTTTTTTTTTTTTTTTTTTTTTTTTGAAATTTTAAGGGGGAAATGGTCAATGAACAATTAAAATTGTTTAAGTAACACTGGATTACATGGACCCTAATTATATCAATCTCATAACTTTATATTTCTTAATCTAATGCCATTGAATAATGTTTTGATATTTAAAATAACCATGTGCTTATTATTTCCATGAAACTGGCAGCTGGGGAATAATATGAAATATCATATTTTTGTTCCAAAACACAAAGTCCTTCAGAAACAAACTTATTAAATGTTTTTAAAGCTAAACCTACATTTTGTCGTTCTAAATTTGAGGAGCTTCCAAAGCCAAGCTGTAATTGTAATTTTATTAATGACTCACAACTTTCTATCTGATGCAGTTGTTTTAATACAGAAAAAAGTTATTACTTGAGTATTTTTCATGAGAACAGATTTGTTTGATTCTGCGTCAAAACAGAAAGTATTAAAATTTGATCATCCGTTTCAAACATCTTTCTTTCAGAATGCAATGTATTAGGTTAGCATACTCAGAAATTCCTTTTCTTCTCACAATATTACTTAAAAAACATTGTATGAATTTATTTCAATTTAATTTGATTAATTATGGAAGAAATAAAAGAAGAAAATTACTAGAAACTCTAAAGACACAAAATCAAGAACTCGGTAAACCAGAATTCGAGATAAGGTGTGGAAGGTAGGCAGGTTTTGGAAGAAACTTGCCATGATATCAAATATAAATAAAAAATTTTAAATGAATGAGATACATTCCGCAAGAGAAGAAGACAAAACCGTGATCACGTGGTTTAAGAACAACGATCTCCATATGTGTGTAATTTACGATGGGTCTATAGCAGATGTAACAATAAAATTAATTGATTTTTCTAATTCAGAAATTTACAGCTATTGTGAAAAATTAAAAAGTACTCTTGGAAGTGATCTTGTTCAAGGAAAAACATGTGAATAACATTTGCTTTAAAGTAATGCCAGATAGTAAGGTACTTATGGCAAGCTGTGTTAAGGCAGAAATGAAGAAAACAATTAATTATGAAACGTCTGTGCAGATTTCTGCAGAAAATGAGGTAAGATTCATAAATTTTCTTTCATGCACAATACTTACCAATATTCACGTTTTACTTTATTAGGAATTTTAAGTGTATATCAATAGTTGAAAAATATTCCCAAGACCTTGAATAATATTTTCCAAACTTTAAAATGTAAATATTTGTTAATAGTTCATGAATAGTTTTATCAATAGTTGAAAAATATTCCCGAGACCTTGAATAATATTTTCCAAACTTTAAAATATAAACATAATAACGTAAATATTTGTTAATAGTTCTAAATTATTGAAATAGTTGAATTCTTGCAAGATCTGCTTATTTACAAAAACATTAATACCAAGCTAATTTTCTCTTATTAACTGCAGTGCCATAGAACATGTTATACCACTAACTTTTTATTAATTTAATCACGTTGTATTTTAATAATGTGGCTGATATAATCAAGTTTTAATCAATATGCATAAATGTAGTATTTTTTTATCATTTTCTACTAAAAATTAAGAAATATCTATGACCAAAAAATTATTCATTTCACAACTAGAATTACAGCGAACTCAGTTGTGCAAATCCATATAATTTTCAGGTAAAGTGCAGAATCACCCACTTATATGGCACTTATTGATTGTACATAGACAAAGGAAGTGTATAATGCCAAGTTTGTGCAAATCTCTGATGTTTTCTTAAGTGAAAATAGGTCAATTTGTACATGGATACCGAATTTGTACAATTCTTTGATTTCTTATTTTCAAGTTAATGCAGAATCGCCCACTTATATGGCGCGTATCGATGTGTACATGGACAAAGTCAAGGGAGTATGCAATTCTCTGATGTTTTTTTAAGTGAAAATAGGTCAATGTGTACATGGATACAGAATTTATGCAATTCTCTGACTTGTTATTTTCAAGTTGGTGATTTTTCGAAACGCGTGAAGCAGTGGATGATTCTGCACATTCCCCGTAATTACAGCCTTAATGTAAAATGGTATGCAGGTCCCCGAGAACAAATTCTGTATTATCCACTATGGGAGTGTCATTGTTACCTACAGCTCATTGTTGCCTTCTTTTATACATAAAGGCAAGTTACATATTTATATAATTCTTTTTGCGGTTTAATCCTAGTATCCGGTGCACACGGGATTTGGCTACTTTTATGATGAGCAGTAAAAACGAGGCATATACGTTGAGTAGTAAACGAGTATTCAAAGAATATATATAGTTATACATAGTATATACTATGTATATAGTGTATAGTATGTACATAGACGTTCTTTAGGTAATTTTTGGTGTTGGTGATAATTTTCAAAATCGCGCCAAGGCTGCACCGTATACTAGGATTTTACCCTTTTTACAGCTAAACATGTCAATAATAATGTATTACTCACTTAAATTGTACATATGAGATTTCAGATGTACTGCCAATATAAAATTTAAGACCTTACACAGAATTTAATGTAATAATTGAAATAAAAATTTGTAAGTTGTTGTTTCAAATAATGTCAAAAAGAAAATTGGGGTAAACTGCAAAATCGCTCTTATTTGTTTGGCGCTTTTCACAAGAGTAAGAAGAATTGGATTTTTTTTCAATTTTCTTTGACTTTTTACGTGAAAATAGGTCGATGTGTACATAGATAAAGTCAAGGGAGTGCAAATGCTATTTTTGTGCTATTCTGAGATGTTTTCTCAAGTGAAAATATGTCTATGTGTACATGAATACCGAGTATGTGCAATTCTTAAAAACGAGCCAAGCAGTGGGTGATTCTGCACTTTTCCCATAGATAAAATAATAATTAAAGAAGAAATGCAAATTTCATAACTAATTAAAAATAAACAAAGTTTCCGAATTTTCAACGCATCTACCACAGCAAAAGCTTGTTTATTTACAGTAGCAGTTCTTACCTCACGTGACCTCTCGACGTCACCGGAATATATCTCATTAGGAAGGAACTGCTAAAATAGTTGAAATTAATTTTCTATTCAATAGAAATATTGCAATTAAATTAAAAAAGGATTAAGGATCTTTTTTTAAAATCTAATAGGATTAAGTCTCTCTTCTAAAATCATATTTTAATAGAATTAATGCTGATAAAACAATGTTTGAAGCAAGTTTTCATTAGAAATTCTTTTTATGTAAATAAGCAAGTAAAAGTAATTTCAAATTTCTTAGAAAAACACGTTCCAAAATAAAAACTTTACATATTTTTAGTATATACAAAAAATAAACATTTATGCACTTTTGACGAGCCTTCGTACGTCCAACGTGTGTTAAAGTGAAAGCAAATATTCTGCCGGTGACGGTGCTTGCCAAATCATGGCAGTTGAAAATGTTTTCGATCAAAATGTAATTCATATTGGATTTTTCGTCTCACTGATAATTTTATTTTTGTGTTATGTTGTTATATGCAATTCTGAATAATAGTATAGAAACCACTGATTGTTTGATATTAATGGCTGCTACCTTTTAATTGGATTATGTTTCGATATCGGACATTATTAAACACTGTAAACTGTCATGTTTGATGAAAATGCTTTCTGAAATATTAATTTTGAATTTGTGGTAAAATGTTTAATACATACATTATATAACTATGTATTAATATACGTATTTATATTATGTATGTTTATACATAAGCAGCTATAGAATTGATGTTCAAAGCGGGTTTCATACCTTTTTTTTAAAATTGATTTTCTCTGCAAAACAAATTAATGTGTAATAATAATTACGTTTGTAACTTGCCATTTAAGATTTATGCCGCTTTATTTTTAGCACACCGTGAACTTAGAAAGCATGACAGCAGAAGAAAAAGCTAGGTGAGTTTGTTTCTTGGTTTTGTATGTAGTATGTTTTGCTAAATTAAATGAAATAATATTGATTATAGATACATTAGATTTCTCTCTCTTATTCTGGATGGAATCCAGGTTGAAAGCAACGCATTTGCCCAAATTGACAATAATTTGATTCATCCAAGACAGAGACATGGTATTTTATTTGATTGCGATGTATTGCCTACTAGCGAATATGAAATCTATACAGATGGGTCCGGTTTCGAGGGAGGTGTGGGATGTGCGTTTGTCATATATTTTTATGGTTTGGAGATCCATTATCAAAAATACATACTGGATAAACATAATTCAGTTTATCAATCAGACCTATACGCCATTTATAAAGCCTTGGAATGGATTAAATCTAATTTGATCTATAAATGTACAGTTCATATATACTCGGATGCCTATTCAGCACTCGTCGCCCTCTCTCGGCCGGACCACAAAAATTATATCATGAATAAAATTAAAAATGATTATATGAATTTAAAATATAAAATGTCAATCAATATTCATTGGGTAAAGGCCCATATTGGTATCATTGGGAATGAGAGGGTGGATTCCCTGGCAAAGGAGGATGCCCTGGGGGATGAGATCTCTGAAGGTGATCTACAACATTCTAAAAAAGTTACAATTAGCAAAATGAAAGATCACATGTATAAAACCTGGTATGATCAATGGAATGTGTCTCCTAGAAGATCAGAGGCCTTGTCAAATATAATAATTAAGAAGAATAAGCCTATATTTTGTGATAAAGACTATAATCAATTAGTAACAGGGCATGGACGCTTTCCTATGTACTTACAGAGATTCCACCTCCAGGGGGTAAATTTATGCCTTAAATGTGATACTGCTGGTGACTGCATTCATTTTATTGAAAGTTGTACACTCACCGGGAAGGAGGGGGGGCTAAGAGCCTTACATGGACTTGGAAGTGTAAGAGAAATGCATCAAAATTATAAAAAAGGGAGTAAAATTTGCACAAGACATTATGAAAGTCATCAATTCTCATAAACATGTCATTGGTATCTCTGATTGATCGAGCTAACATACTGAAAGCGTTCAATTTATGGAAACTACCCTTAAAGGGGGAGAAAGACTTTATATGCAAAGGTCCAGGGACAGCTTAAATGTTTTTGTGTTTTTATGTGCCGTGTTATTTTTTTTAGTATACTAACCTAATTTTCTTTTCTTTCTGTTAAGCTGCTAAATTAATTTTTTTTTTTTTTTTTTTTTTTTTTTTTTTGGACACGGCTGGCTCGCCGGCTCGTGTGGTTTGTTGTTGGAAGGGTTGCATCTGCTTTTCTTCATAAGGTTCAACAAACCAGGCGGAAGGGCTGCGCCCGTATAAAACAAAACAAAACATTAGATTTCTATTTATAAGTTCTTAGAGCAGATCCTTTGCATATAGTTATAAGACATGTTTGGAAACCTCTGTTAGAAAACTAACGTACTTGCTTTATTCACCTAATAATTTGGTTAATTAAACTTTGATGTGCAGTGCTAGGAGATTTGTAAATCCATATTCCATGCAAAAGCTATAGACAAAATTAGTAATCTGTCTTGTACACCATCAAATGTGCTTAAATTTCTGGAATATCCTTACCTCACATTTTTATATGCCTTTCCTGATTTATATTATATTTATTATTTTTCAATAAAATTTACTTTAAATTGTAGAACCCTTATCTTTTCTTTCTCCCCAAAACTTAAAAGTACTATGTTTTCTTTGGTCCAATTATGGTGATTTTCTCCTAGGTTTCTCATCCTTCTCTGTTTCCCTAAAATTTGAAGAATCATTTTGGAGCATGCTTTCCTTGTATAGTTAGCTCTGCTGCTAGCATAAATCAGTATAAAAAATTCTCTTCTAAGCAGAAATATACATTTACCCTCATTTTTTACATATATGGATTTGAAAGATCTTTTGAAAAAAAGACATATGAATGAGAGGATCTTTAAATTCCTAAATTATTACATCATTGTGAGGTGTGAAAATTGTGTGTAATCATAAGTTTATCAGTTTTATTGTGTTGTGTTTCAAATAGAAAAGATATATTTTATACTTTAATTAAATACTAATTAATGGATTAATTTATCTCAGATCTCAGTTATATCTACTAAAAAAAGGTTCAGTTTATGTTAAAAAAAGCTGCTTTTTGTAATTCTGCAAAATATGTTCCATTAATATTTTAAAGATAATAAATTAGTGTTTCTAAAGTTTCCAATATTTTAGTAAAACACTGATGATTTTGAATCGAGATTTAATCTTCATTTTCTTCAGCCACTACTTCAAGACAGCTAGCTTGCCCTTAGATATTATTTGAAGGGTAACTTAATCACAGTCAAAATCAACATGCATCAAAAGTGTACATTCTGTTCAAGAACAGCAGAAACTATGTGGGCTGTACTGATTCTAACATCTATAATGTTTCTTTATTGACTGTATAATTCTAAAGATCTAATGGCTAAAGGTTGCTAGGAATAAAATGATAGATGAGGTGTCTTAAAACCCCATATATAAAACTAGAAAGTAAATAACACTGATATGAATCATGTTCACATAGTGAAGCGATCGAGAAAGGGATAAGCGAGGTGTCAAGATGCATTTATAGTGTAGACATCCAGTCAAAAAGTTAATCAAACGACATCAAACGATAGTTTTTTGGTAAAAATATATTTCAGGATGCCTCTTGGCAAAAATTGGCATTTTTTTGGCATCTTTCCTGATTACATCCAACACCCTCCCCAGTCAAATGGCATCCGAAACATAATTAAAACAAAAAGGTAAAAGTTTACAATTGGGTGCTCCTTATGTTTTTGGCAATTCTTTCTTGATGCCAGCAAGGCACAATTTCAAGATGGCCACTATACAAAACCAAAACAACAAGTCGAACAATTGCACGAACTAGGTGTCCGTGTACACATCGATCTATTTTCACTTACCATCAGAGAATTGCACAAAATCCTTGACTGTCTGTGTAGATATCAATCTATTTTCACTTAAAAATCAAAGGGGAACCCAATTCTATCCTAGAGCCAAACAAAATATATACAGGGTGTTTTACGAAGGACCCGCTAATTTTGAAAATAAATAACTAAAAAATGATGATGGATAAAATTATGAAACAAATGGTATGTTTATTAAAAAAAAAAACCATAAGAATCTGATACAGAAATCTAAAAAATTACAAATTTATGATAATTACCATTAGTGACGGGCGATGCAACCAATAGTAAAAATACATAATTAAAGTAAACATCAATATTGATAATTTTTTAAATAATATCAGTAATAATATAATTGTCACTATTATGGTTTGAAGAAATTAATACCCTATAGAACATGTAGTGGAACATAATTTAATGTTTTTATATAATTATTAAGATTTGCTAATTGGCAACATGATGTAATGTTTTTGCATAGTTAATTAAGATTCACTGGCTGGCAACAATGAGGGGAGTTCAAAAAAGTTGTTACTTGGAGTGTTCAATGATAAGGGTACTTGCGTATTAATGCCACCGCAGCTACAGATTTTGTGCGTTTTAAGTGCTGCCAATCTACACCTAAATTTTTGCGACAAATCATAAATTAAAAACTTTATTTAAAATAAAAGTAGTAAATCAGATTTTAGTGTAAAATGGGACGATATAGAGTTTAACATAGTTTAACAGTCTCTATTTTCTTTCACTTGACCCTATGTCTCTTGTTCCTCCATTTAGCACTGCCCCACATTCTCTCAACTGTTTGTATATGAACTCCTGTATCAAGATCAATGAAATTGTATTTATTATTAACTTTAACATGTATGAATCCTCTTCTTTCTATTCTATTTGTTTGGTAACCCTACCAATTGTCAGAATAAATTGTGCTACCATCTGCAATGTTTTCAATAACTTTATTAAGAAGGGTAGAGCCAGTTCTATTAGGAACAGTGACAACAAACGAATCTTTTGTTTCTCACATATACCAACAAACACACACTGTTTGGGTAATACTCGACCACAATTATTTTTACGCTTAGTAAACAAACTTTCATCAATTTCCATAATGCAATCTGGTCCACCTACCTTCTTGTTTGGTTTATTCTCCATATCCAAGACCCATCATTCACGCGTGTAATTGTTCCAATCTATCACAGTTTTATCCTATAAATCAAGTTGCTTTTTCACAAAATTTAACTGATGTCAACTCTTCGCATTAGCAATAAGAATCTCAAAGTTGAACAAAATGGAATTTTGCTTCCTTCAAACTAGTTGTCTTTTCTAAGTCTCACTTGCTGATCACACGGTCTTAAATTACATTTCCAAAACGTACGTTTACCAAAATAAAGTTTTATATCATTCAAATTGCAGCATTTTTTTTTTTTTTTTTAAATATTTTGCTTCCAAAAAAATAAAATTGCATCTTCTTGTGTGTGGCAAATCCCAAAGATGTATTTTCGTAGCACTAAAAAGTGAGGTCAAAAATCAGCAAACAACAAGGCAAAAAGGAATCCAAAAGATAACTGTTTGAGAACAACAGGATTGCTTGTTATTGGCGCATCAGCGTAACTTCTGCTGCGGTGGCATTGTGGTGTAGTGTTAATGCTTCAACACTGTGGTGTTGAACTCCAATGAAAACGTTAATGATAGAACACCACATGAAAATTTTATTGAACGCCCAAAAAATGGCTACATACTATCAACATTCTTAAAATCATATTCTATACATTTTACGTGCAATAGCAATACATGGCTCTCGAGCTCGCGTTTTTAACATTGCCAACAATTTAATTATTTTAATAACAACTATTGAAAATGTATTTGTAAGTTAAATAATAATAATTTGCAGCTAATGCTCATGAGACATCCTTGTCCATATTAATCTTCAGTTTTTCCTTCCTTTATGCGACCTTATCACAACTCCTCCCCTCATAAAGGAATTTTTCTTGACTATGGAAGGAAAAATTCTAAATACTTTTCACTGCTTTCAAAACACAAGTGGTAAC